TATGTAAGGTTTACTGTAGTCTTTTGGTCAAGGAAGTGGCTAGGTTCCTTTTACTCTAGTTACCTATAGATCTAGTTTATCCACTTATAGTATCACGTGTGCTTTCTCATGGAAACGATTACTCTAAAGTAGAATATACTTTGTAAAGGTGGGCAGCGATTTTTTCCACTGATGAGCCAGGTGGTATCTTGATGTATCATCATTTACATGTATATATATTTTTTAAAATGTGAACTACCAATAGTGAAGCAGGTAATGCATTCTTCCTGAGAAAAATAGCATCGTAGAACTGTGTACGTAATGCTGTTTTTTTTTCATTCTGGGACAGTTCTTCTCAACAAAGACCTTTGGATGCTCTTGGAAATATATCCACCATCTTACACTCATTAATTTTTTTATTGTTTTGGACCAGTCTCTTTCTTTTCACAATCACAAGAACTCAGTTTAACTCTTTTGAACCTCTCATTATTTGCGGTATCTACCGACCTTGTTGAAGATAAGTTTTCTGGAAGTATCACACGAATATCATCATATATTTATTTTATTTTTCAAAATACCCGTTGAATTAATCAACTTTGTGATTGCGATAAATGTTTCAAGTATAATATACTTGTCATAAAACAATGCACGTACTTAACTTTTCATTGACTAGTGGAAATCTAAGTGCTACCACAGTTCTTGATAAGAATAATAAATGTATATCAATATTTCTCCAAAAATCTTTCGTATTGCTACTTCTAATTTGGATTATCTAAATAACAATTTTAGAGGACGGTTTTGAGAAAATCTTAAACTTTGAAAATTTAAAATCTAAAGAGGAAAAATAATCTGGTTTTTCTAATAGTCCATCAATTCATCAATATTATTGAAATGTGATTTTTAACACACAGGTTTATATCACAAAGTAGTAGAAGACCATACTGTGGTATTGATCGAGGTACACTGGTATCCAAAAGTGTCTGCAAAAATGCACATGCAGGAAATCAAACATCGGCATCAAAGATCTTGAGTATTTATCAAGTTGACCAGCTTATAACTTTTCACTGTGACTTCAACGGGCTGTTGGGGTGAAAAGAAAGATTTTCAAATATATCCACATTGGAAAGAGACAGCGAAAAATTATTGGATATAGCACTTTCAAATAAGACATAGTATCAAGGTGTGGTATCCAATAACCCAAAGCTACGTCCATAACCGGCTATTTGAAATAATGTACCAACTTACACCAATTATCTAAAGACACAGGGCCAAAGTGATAGAAGCTTCTAACTATCGCTGTACGTAACCTTTGCATAAGTAACACTATTAGCATATGTGTTACATGACGTGTACAACCTTTTGACATTTGGGTAATGAAAATGTCAAAAGTCATAACTACACAAGAGTTTATAAAAATTACCTGAATAAATATATAGTCTAAACTATTTAAGGAAGAAACAAATTAGTAGCTCTGAAAGTTGCTAATAATGAGATGAAGCAAAAGAGTGTTTAGCTTC